ATTTAAATAGGAGAGGTGTATTCTTTAATGAGTATTTTACATTGAATGGAACGTCTCAACTCAGTAAGCATGGCTGAGATTTGTAAAAGTTCTTTTTACAAAGAAGATTCGGGTAAAAAGCAGTGCTTATTCAAACAAATATTCGCATCACTTTGAATCACAATCATTATTTGTCGCCTAATCCCTTTTAATGACTTTGTTTTCTTTCTCGTTTGCAAGGAGAGAAGAAGATATGTCACGTTAAAGACATCATAAAGATCAGTGTTGTATGCGTATATATTATATACACAGGCCAGTAACAGCTATGTAGCTTGTAAATTTGTAAGAGGGAAAATGCTGATTGAAATAATAATGATGAAATAGCAAATAATTGAGGAGTATCATAGATACCAATTCAATGGATATTTGTATAAAAAAGAGCCCCCGTCAGTACTAAAAGAGCCCCCGTGAGAAGGCTCGCGGGGGCTCTTTTTTTTGGGGGGGGGGGGAAGAGCCCCCGTGGACAAAAAATTAATTTGAGCCCTGCCTGTAACCTTGTCAAGGTATATTGTACTGTTGTGGAAAGCGATCTACAAAACTAATCTATGCCTATATGAAGGATGTCGTGTCGTCTCTGCAAATCTTGATAAATTAATTTGAGATAAGTTTCGATCGTGAGAAATTAATTTGTTTATTCTTTATGAGGCAAATTCATGGTAAGGTAGACAAAGAAACAATCACCTTTGATGTTTCTCCCTTGTATGAAAATATTGTATACAATTATATGTTTCGGCTTCGTGCGTTTCATTAACGTTATTTAGAAAACAGAAGTAAAACCACTATATCGATTAACCGAAAATAAATTCATTGGAAAGATTGTAATCCGTTTACTCCCAACATAGAGGCCTACATAATTATTTTCGCAGCATTCAAACGCTTTCAATATTTCGACTAAATGTTTATACCATATTCCTAAATTTGGTTCTTTGTTCTTGCAACAACAACAAAAAAAACGCCCTAGACCCTAAACCGAACCTCAACTATCTAGGGAAGTGGATAATGTTGGCCTCTCTTCTCAGTTTGCAAGAGCAAGCCAACCTCCTAATAGTCCCCCTTCTCCGGGCCAATGCTGGTCTGATTATGCCACTTACCACGCGTCCTCACTTGTCAAAAGGAGGAAGTCCGGGGCCTTTAAGCTAGATGACAGAGCCAATTTATTCTTAAGAGTATTCATTTTCAGTGTTCAATAAACAGCGTGATATGAATTATGACAAGTTTACCCTGACCCATGGACGTTCTGACCTGCTTCAAAGACGTATCCTTTCACAACTTGCCCTAAGATCTTTTGATATTTTCTTCTACATCTATTCTTATAATTTGCTTGGACGCCTTCGCGTCAAGTATAATACGACAAATATTAATATTTTGGTCAAACATTCTTTCAGTTATACAACAATCGTTCAACAAAGGATATCGGTTATGATTGTGACACGCATCCTGACTGACCCCGATATCGGTAGGTCCTAGAGTTTGGGGTTTTGATTCTCTATTTTCTCTCTTATTCTAACTTTTATTTCATTTTGTCTAGAGGCAGAAAACTACAGAAACAAAATTTGCAATTTGCTACATCAGGATTGAAATACTTTTAACTAACCCGCATTGCATTGCTGCATGCTTTCATCAAGAACAGAAGAACACAGTAATCGAGAGTATAGGCGCAATGTTTGTTATCATTTTGGGCCTTATTATCTACATAGTAGTTTGTATAATCAGGGAGGTGACTTAATAAATCCTTGGTTGAATCAAACAATTAAGCCAAAGAACAATGGTATGATAAATATATATATATACATTCATGGTTTATGAGTGTAATGAACTTCGAAAATAACGCCATGACCCGGACACTACCAAGGTCTTATTGCTAGAGTAGGGCAAACGATGTCATCCTGGTCATGCTGATATCAAGATTGGCTTTCTTTTTGGTAAAAAAAAATACAATGCATACATTGAAATTCTCATCAACATCAATAATGGTAATAAAAGTAGCATCATCATCATCAGCAGCAGCAGTAGCAGTAATAGTAGTATTAATATAAGAGGAGGAGGAGGAGGAGGAGGAGGAGGAGGAAGAGCGTATAGATTATTTTACCTTATTAAATGCTATTTTTGCCAATGTATGTGAAAGACTAAATTGCATATGTAAACCATATCGAGTCCCAATCAATAGTAGCAAGAAGGCTGTATAGGATTTCATAAATCTTAAGTAAGTATTATTTTTAGAACAACTCTAGAGGACGCCAAAAGGAACAAGAGTTTATTATTCTAAACAATACATATATTTTTGGAAAGATCTGCTATACTTTTTTGGTATAAAGGACACTGCACGTACTTGGCATGTCTCCAACTGTTTTTTTCTATGGTTGTCCCATTCTATGGTAGGTCCATGTAGGGAGTGGTTGTCCAAAGTTCTTTGATTTGAATCACCAACCCCCAGCTGATGGGAGAACAAAAGCGAACAAAACTCCCTTGTTATAAAAGCTACATCGGTCCAGGTCCAAGGGAAGGTCTATTGAACAAAAGGGTATACCTTGCGAGTATAATGTTTTCACAAAACCCCAATTCCGTATGGTTACATCTGAATGTATTATACAAATATTATTTGACGACATCAATACCCAAAAGTGGGTAGAGGTTTCGAGGTTTTTTGATCGGCACACCCCGTTGAAACCAAAATGAGTACCCCCCTCCATCCTATAACCCCGGCATCCAAATAGTATATTCAAAAATTCCACCGAAATAATAATTTGCATTGTGTTGAACTTACTATAATATCATTCTCTAAATTAATGGCAATGAAAAGCAGGATAAACGCATAGCAATGAATAAACCTGTAATTATACTAACATTTAATATATATACGGGACGGTGATTTCATTCAAGACAAATTTTGGATGTTACTTGTATTCAATGAAATTATAAAGAAGAGCTTGTGTCATGCAGATTCTCAGTGAAATGCAAATGATATACAACGTGACTGCAAAATAACAAGTCTAGACTCGAGATAATTGAATTACTATCGTTTAAACGGCGACGTTTCAAACACCATGTCATAAATATATGTTCTCTTTCACACTATCCAACGTGCATGCAGTAGTTGGAAATTAAGTCTGGGGGCTATTTTTGAGTCGTGCTACTCGCCTGCACGTGTTCAGATGACTAAAAATAAATCTCAGCAGGTCTGTCTCGCAGGTCTTAATCTAAAGAAATTAGACGTGCCACGTCAGGCTTGACTATTAATATTGTTGTTGTTATTACTGTTATTATTATCATTATTATTATTATTATTATTATTATTATTATTAACACTAGGCCTATTATTATTGTCGTTGCTATTATCATCATTATGATTATCATTATTATTATCATCATTATCATTATTATCATAAGTAGTATAGTAGTAGTCGTAGTAGCATTATTATTATCATCATTATCAACGTCATATCCATTATTATGATACTAATAAACCGCTCATAATTTTGAAATCTCCGCGATTTTCTGTTTTACAAGAACGAAGCTCGACGGGAGACCATGCAATCTTGTGCAACAATGAGCCTAATATTCTCCCTTTTCACTAAACTTCAGCCAAGTTCGCATGTGACCTTTAAATATATTAGAGATGCATAACAACCGATGGTTAAAGGTATATAAACAACAGCATGATTTCTACTTTTCAAACATTTAAACAAAAGCCTTTTATAATGATGCAAAGACATTATAATATGACTTAAGCATTGTGAACGGGTGGTAACATACAAGACACTATTTAAAAAGCACACCGAATAATACTTCTCTGAAATTGACTACATACCAGCTACTTTGCATTTGCATAATCAGTGCTAGTGGTATCAGTGGAAAAACGACCCGACTATTTGGTGTTTGTCTCTTTTCCCATGACATGACGTTGAAAGCGGAAGGAAGATGGCACTTAAAGGTGTCCTATGTCCAATTCCTGAGAAGCCACACTTATCGTCTGTTATCGAGGACGTCACACCGATCCTTACATGATTACACGACAAACTTCCTCCTTCTACCAGGTGTATGTTACAGAGGAAATTGGATTGGCAGCCAAGCATTGTTTGTTACATGTTTTGTACAATCCCGTGAACAAAACATAATTATTATTCGTGTGGTTTATCAAACCCCACCACAAAAACAATCCTTAGCATATGCTATGCCAATGGGTATAATATAGATGGGGCAGAAGCAACAGCCGTCCCTAGATCCTATGACGGATTTGCAATGATTTTGCTGACATTTTAAACGTTCTGACAGTATTTTAAAGACTATGTAAAGAAAATAAGAGCCTTTTAGTCCTGTCCGAGAGAAGCTGTTGCTCATAATGTTCAATATTAGTAACAATCCTCAGCATATGCCAAAGGGTATGGGGCAGGAGAAACAGCCATCCCTAGATCCTATGACGCATTTTCGATGTTATTTCTGACACTTTAAACATTATGTCAGTAGACTATTTCCAGAAAATACGAGCCTTTTAGTCCTGTCCAAGACAAGCTGTTACTCATTTTAAATATTAGTAGCAATCCTTAGCATATATTCCAAAGGGTATGGGGCAGGAGCAACAGCCGTCCTTAGATCCCATGACGGATTTTTCGATGATATTACTGGCACTCCTACATTCTGTCAGTACTTAAAGACTATTTTCAGAAAATAAGAGCCTGTTATTCCTGTCCAAGAGAAGCTGTTACTCATGTTTAATGTTAGAAAATTTGCTTAGCCCCCCCCCCCCCCCCCACATTTTGCTAATGTTTTGTTCATAAAAACGTACACCAAGGCAAATTAAAGAGTCAGTCATCTCAGTATTCCTTCTTGTTGCATTACACGATAATCATTTTACTTTTCTTTGCTCATAATTATATTAAGCATAATGAACAAAATAGATTAAGGTCTCACGACGGCTTAATGATGATGCTATCCTTCCAATATTCTAATATAAGTATACTTACAAAAGAAGGTAGGTGCGGTGATATGAAACTGCTGACGGACTCTCTCCATTTTCTAGAGTTTGATTTCTCGAATTGCGTTTGAGCCATGTTGACAGCTTGAGGGGTTTTCGTCGATAAAATTCGGTCACTGAGCACAGTTATGAAATATCACAATTTAATGTAGATTATTGGTTACGTAGATGCATCTTAGCAGAAAAGTGTGGATTAAAAGCGAAGTGTTTGTCTCTCTTGAACGAGCTACGATGCATGAACTGACGGCGAAACTAATACGATTTTCCAGAATATTTATTATTATATAATTACTTAGTCACTTTTCATCCACTCATGTATCGTCAGCATTTTTTTACTGAAGCCTGCATACTGCGCAGAAGAGAAGTTTTCCCGTATCACCAAGTACCAGACAGATATTAGCCGGTAGCTTTATTTCTCTTTATTCTCCACGAGCAGCGTTCATGCAATGCTCGCGATTCCGTTGTGTTCAGTGTTCACACTATTCAGACGAAACACTGGACCGTGACAACACCGTGATTATCAACTTAGTTTGACCTTCTCAGGGATGATGACTTTCACAACTTCAAAAAGAAATTCTGTAGAAGGAATAATGAGAACATGGAGTAGAACATGTACAGACCTATGTACAACGATGTGACGAAACGGTGTTGCTCTCCTGCTGGCGGCGAGTCTTGTGCAGACAGTCCGGGTTTGCTGGTACGATCATAATTATCATTCGATAGCTCGCTTTGATCAGAGAGGTGAGACATCCCTGTTTTGATTCACCGCTCTCATATAATTATGACGTCACATCTACGCTGCCCAATCACGATGCATATTCACATGATACACTTTCGTTATATAGATTGTATATACTGAGTTTTATTGAATTTCATCATGAAACAGATAAAATAAAGAAAAACCTACCGATTTTCGATTGCTGCCGTGCTAGTTCGGTTTGTTAAAGTTGGAGGGGAAAAAAGATGGCTTAATTCAAACACCAATGACCCCCAAAATACCGAACCAACTGGTTTCTGGTATTCTATTGTTAAACTTTAAGATGATGCTGAATATAGAAAGTACATGTGGTACTCGTTAATACGTTTTTTGTTTTTGTTTTTTGTTTTGGTATAATTTATGGCCTAGTGATGTTTACACTGCCCCTGTCAAGCCTCAAGGCCGTTCTCACATCGGAACATTTTCTTTTGTCTATTTTATGAGGGATATTCCATCTCCTCCTAGCTGATCTAATGTGGGCACCAACAGACATTTATGGGTCAGAGCAAAGAAATTCGGGAACAGAACTAAATGACGCAATTTGTCTAATTAACCATATTTAGTTTACTCCAAATCCACTGAAAGTCACCTATTACAAATCACATTTTCCAACTGCTATATATAAATACCTGCATCACATATCACTTGACGAACAGTTATGATAAAAAGTCATAACTATCAAGTATCAAACGAGTTTCAGAGCTACTGATTATGTGAGTTAGCATAATACGTGATCCTAAAATTAAAATCAAAATATGTTCCACATAAGTCGTCGAAAACTGGTTTCTTTGACCGATTTTAAATCTTTATAAATACATTTCTTCACGTACGCATACACATTAAGAATAATTATGAACACGCCTGCCTCATTATTAACGTTGACATCATGATTATGACCTCTCTAAATTGAATCAAAAAGGTTTTCAATTCTTCCAATAGGTCTAATGAGTAGTACGGTCTCGGTTTGATTATTAACGATTAAGTTTCACTCTCGGCGTAACAATCCCAAGTCAAACCCTTTCCCTTTATCGCGATGTTGCTTTGTTTAATTTATATAGTTTCGGAGCTGTAGAACCATTTCCCCAAGTATATTCGCTAACATTGCATTGCTGTTTTCATTCATTGCTCGCCTTTTGTCTTGTTTTGATGCATTATGCGAAGAAGCGTCTGCTACATGATATCCTTCTGCGGGAAATGTGCACACAATAACATTCATTCCTAACCTTGCTATAACATTTATAATTAAACATGCGTAGGTTTAATTGGCACGCATGAACCTTGAAAAACGTCATTTGGTAGATAAATTTGTTTTGGTTTCTATTCAACAAACAAAAAAATAACAATACATGGACACTGATGGGCAAAATACTAATTATGGAAACTATAATAGTGTTCAATAATTGGTTGAATGAAGAGGGTTTGTGTAATTTCGGTACATGTTTTTGTTTGTTTTGTTCAAAAAACATAAACGTTCCATGGCGGAAACTTATATATAGAAAATTCTAATCCTTTTTCAAAACATTCCTTCAGCATGAATCTTCACGGTTTCTAAATATAACAATTGGTCATATCGATGGAAACAATATAATATAAGGTATATTATTATTCTATACACGGTGACGGTATGCATGATGAGAGATTCAAATAAATTCGGTGTACCTTTATATCTGATCTTTCAATTAGCTCTGTAACAGGAAACAGTGTTTTATTTTTGTCTTTACGCATGCATTCCTACGGCATTCATGCAAATCACACAAATACTTGGGGACAAACTACGACAGAAATAGAGATAGAAACATATTAGAAATAGAAACTACGATAAATGAGTATAGAAACAACGTCAATCCGCATGTAACCTCTTGATGCATGGTGCATAATCAAATACTATAAATAGTGCAGTTCATAAACAAAATTGATTACCATGATTATAAACAATTTGATATGCATGTTTCACCCCATGCATGATACAGCATGGAGTTTCTTGACCTATCCTATACCCTTCACCATCATCACGCTAGCGGTAACATCGTCACAGCCACAATAATATAGTCTATACATTTTTAGAAACAATGACATCCTGTTTACATATTTTGTTTGTTAACAATTGCCATAATAATCTATATTTCTGCTTGATCATGGTGATAAACAATGAATTATTTGTTAATGAACCCCTTTCGTGTTTCATTGCTTTGTACTCTATCACAAAGGACCCTGTCATCTGCAGTTTGTTTCCCCATTAAATTTTATCGGTCATCCAACCTGGCTGATGAACCATACGTCATGATTGTAATCAAGGTTTATTAATTGTTTCAAGTATTCTGATCTATGAATGCAAAATGACATAAAAGTGGAACTGACCTTGATTATATAATTATGTATAGGTTTTTATAGCCATAGGTCACGATCTTCTATACTTGTGTTGCAAATTGGTGTTGGTCTATACTACCCTATACTGCTCCTAACTTTCCCTCGCCATCATCATGCCTCGTGTATCACGATGCTTCAGCATAATTATGCTTATGCATGACTTGAACTTCAAGTTCAATACTATAGGAAAGAAAGCTCACAATTGCAACGCCGAAACTTAAATCACAAACATTTCTGGATACTTACCACAGTATCTTGGAAGAATGAAAACCCAAATGAGATAAACGGCATTCTAATATGTGTTCCAGTGATGTTTTACATCCAAACTTCTCTCAGTATGTTGATAAACTGCCACTAGAGCTTGAGAGCACGTTTGATGGGACTGCGACTGGAAGAAAAACTTGCTCGTTTACCGGTATAGTCTCTTGATGCATACTCTTTTGTGGCACCTGATCTAGCAAAGAGCAAAAAATTTAATTATTACTCACAAATGATTAAAATCAGACAACCTAATTCCGATCCAAAAATCAAAATTATGTGTATCCTTATCGACTAACAGCACAGTAATAAATTCTCACATTTAAAGCTCTTTTAGTAGTCACCTGTAACCAAAATTATGACTGAATTAAACGACAACGATTGGCGTTCAACCCGACTCCAGAAACCGTAGCAGACGACACGACCTTGTTCTTTGTTAGAACCTCGACCACGGGACACATATGTTTTTACAGTTGCCGCGAACAAAGAACGCCTGGTTTTGTGTACGGCTCGTTGGATCCAGAAGAAGGTGTCCGACCATGATACCAGCTGAAAGCGAAAACTAATTATCCTGTGCTTGAAACCAATAATCACCTACAAAACTAAATTTAATTTAATTTGAATATATATCATTATCATGTAAACTAGAGGGCGTTTACTCAACTATAAAATGTTTTAAAAAAGAAGAAGAAAACAAAAACTGTTATTATAATAATTATATAGACTCTTATTGAATTAACAAATAGACATGAAACAAGTCAACACATTGCATTAAAATTTGTGACATGAAAGGATTATCGTCTAGGCAAACAAGATAAGACAAGACAACAAAGTAAAACAAAATGTATAGGAAGAAAATCCTCAAACAAAACAAAGTCATGAAACATAAATTGGCGGACCATCAGATTGGGGGTCACTCCCCCCCCCCCCCGCCCGAAACAAGAAGCTATATTGCTGAAAGCCATGATATTTATGTTCTATCTTTTAATCTGTAATCGTAATAACGAATACGCTATTGTCTAGTTTGTTGTGTTTTTTTCCAGTGATGCCCCCGACCCCAACACCCCCCCCCCCCTCCTCTCTCTCTCTCTCTCTCAGGCGCTCTCTCATTTCTCTCCCATTTCTCTCCCATCTCTTTCATTATCTCTTTTTCGTCCTCTCTTGTTTCCTCTTTTTTTTCTCTCTCTCTCTCTCTCTCTCTCTATATCTCTCATTCACCATCTTTTATCTCAAAAGTCAACGCTTTTCAATGTGATATCCATACGTGTGTTCGAACACAGCCGAGCATTTCATCCAAATCCTTGATATTTTCTGGCTACGACAATATTAGACCTATAAGTCACCAGAGGAGGCTCGTGGGTTGTACACCCTATGGCATTTACCTACAATTTGTTTTTATTTTATTTTTGTAACGGAATGTATATCATCATTTCCCTAAAGATGTCCTGGTAGTAGTCCAAGATTGTAATCAAATTTGTTGTTCGTGAATTATTAGTTCCAAGCCTAATGTTGTCCCAGGTATACTATATTGCTGCAGTTTCTTTTTAAATTAATTATTAAGGTCAATAAACTGTCTATATGGAAGAATTCGAAGTTTAAAACAAAAAATCGATTATGTTTAGATCTCTGCCCTCTTGAAGGTATGTATAGATGAATGTTTAAATACGTTGTCAGACCGATGCGCTTAAGTATATCGATAGGTGGCAGCATAATTATATTGTCAACAAATTTACATTGATCTTCATAGTCAAAGTTTGTGAAGCGCACACAATCAGTTTGTTATCTCTTTTTATCTATTTCTTTAAAAACTCAAAAGCAAAATGCTTATCGTGCTAAACTTCATTTATGTAATTCAAGAAAACCCAAGAAATAAGTAAATGAATATAAAACCTGAGTAGCCTTGGAAGTATTTTTTTCCACTAGCTCATTTTTAACTGTTTCAAAACTTTAGTTTCATTCTTCTTGAGATATAGACATTAAGGAAGATTTTTTTTTTAATGAATCGAAGCGAGAAAAAAAAATTCCATCCAAATGGAAATGCAATAGGCCGATGTGAAGCTTGATATGGCGAAGAATCTTAATTTTTGCCGTTTGGAAGAAATATTTCAGATTGGCAATGAGACAATCACTGGTGATTTACAAAATGTTGCTAAAATGACATGATTTCTCCCCCCCTCATTTTTGCCCATTATGCCAGAGGCGGCACTCCAGGATGGGGGGGGGGGGGGGGTGGCACTGTGCCGCCACTTTTTCAGTTTTCCCCAAAGTGCCCCCTTTGTACATAGGACAAGTGCCCCTTTTCTTGTCTAATAACTGTCCTTTTCCTCCCTTTTCATCTCTGACGAGTACCTCTTTCCAGTAACGAGAAATTCCCTTTTCACCTCTGATATTTCTGCCCTCTTTTTATTTTTGACTCGTGTCCCTTTTCCTTTTTCAATAAGTGTACTTTTTCCTTCATAAAAAGAACCCGCTTCCCTTTCTCTCAAATGCCACTTTTCAACTCTGATAAGTGCCACTTTTATTTTGACAAGTGCCCCTTTTCCTTTTTATATGAGCCCCTCCTCCTTTTCAAAATTTCACTTTTAACATTTGATAAATGCCCCTATTAAAATCTGGTACGTGCCCTTTTCCTTCAACAGATGCCCGATTTCCATTCTCACAAATGCCTTTTTTCATTTTTGTTGAGTGTCCCTTTTCAGGTGCAACAAGTGCCATTTTCACCTCTGATAACTGCCCTTATTACTTTGACACGAGCACCTTTACTTTTCTAATAACCAGGGGCGGATCTACGGGGCGCGGGGGGGGGGGGGTTAGGGGATTTACCCCCCCCCCCCGCCCCTTGGGCTGCCAAGTGAAATGTGATGTGCATAGAAAATGCCATCATGTGTCCAGCCCCACACAGTATAAGTAGATGTTAGTAGTAGATGCCAGGAAAACATCACTTATGGGGGTTCCGTCAAAATAGAAAGAAACAAAAAATCACCACTAGAGACGATCATAGCTGGTGGTCAGTGGCAACTGAAAAAAGCCATACTTTAAAGTTTTAACTAATATCCTACTGTGTGAGCAAGAGTGCTCTAAATCACAATAAAAAGCAAAAATTCGCTCAATCGCGCTACGCCACTTCGCAAAATAAAACTTACTAACTAGGGCGTCGCTAGAATACGAGATATTATGCTTAAGAATTTCTTTTTTCTAAATTCAAAACAATAACAATAGTAAAGTATTTATACAATTCACTACAACCCTGGGCCTATTACTTTCTTTCTTTCTTGTTTTATATCATTGCCGGGAGGAAAGTAACCCCCCCCCCCCCCAAAAAAAAAAAGTTCCCAATTCCCCGCGCGTTTTTTCGAAGATACCGTACGCACTTTTACGCCGTATGCATAGCAGAAATTCAAAACGCCTGACCGCGGAATGTGGCTAGTGTTCCGTTATATCACTTTTGCCTGTGAATTTCTTATGTTCCTGATCATTTTGGACATTGTAGCGGTTCTATATTTCTTTGAGCTGTACTGAAACACTTTTAACCATTAAAGTAAGTTATATGAATTTCTTCTGTGTCGTGCTTTAATGTGCTGATCTAGATCTATAATGTCCCAAATATATATTTTGTTGTGTGTGAAATGAGATTTGACATGGCTTAATAATAATAATAATAATAATGTAACTTATATCGCGCCAAATCCACTCTGTGGAGTGCTCAAGGCGCGTGTAAACAGGAAAAAAGATCAAGACTTGAAAAGAAATGTTTTGAGATGAGTTTTGAAAGAATCAGAGGATAAACATTTTTTGATGTCTTCAGGAAGGCCATTCCATAATTTAGGACTAGACTAGACTGAGTATGCAAAAGATCTTTCCCCCCACGTTTTGGTAATTTTGGGGGTTACAAGAGAATTGGAAGTGGATGAGCGTAGAGGTCTTGCAGGAGTGTAGTTTTGGATTAGAGAGATAAGGTATTGAGGAGCAGAGCCGTGAACACAATGAAAGGTAAGCAACAAAATTTTGAAAACAATGCGATCTTTTACTGGGAGCCAGTGTAGCGACTGCAAAACTGGGGAAATGTGGGTACGCTTGGTGGTCAGAGAAACAATACGAGCTGCAGCGTTTTGAAGCTTCTGAAGCTTGGACACTAGATTCTGGGGTAGATTGATTAGGAGGGCATTGGCAAAATCAAGACGGGAGGAAATCAGAGCATGAACTAATTTTTCGGTGGCAGACTTGGACAAATATTAAGAACTTGGTTAGACATTGTCATATGTGAGTCAAACATAACACCGAGATTGCGACACGTTTGTGACAAGTGAATTATGTGGCCAGAAAATGAAATGCAATTGATATTAACTTTACTAAGCTGTACTTTGGAACCAAATATAAGGAATTGAGGCTTGAGAGTTGATTGAGATTGCAATTGAGAAGCAACATTAAAACTCGTTTTTATCTTTGTAATGTGACAATGATTTGACCTTGATGTATTACTATTGTATAATACTAGGTTTGAAGACAAATTATTTCATCATCTTTAATTACAGATTGCATTGATTGTTTCTATCTCCTTTGCTCTTTATTTTTTTTTAAATAATTATAGAAAGCACATCATGTTGCGAGCAGGACTTGGGAGTGCTGCCACCCCTGTAACAGAGAAGACTTTGAAACGCAAGGTTGAGAATCAGTCGGCTAACAGAGCTCTGCTGTGGTTTGTCGTCAACCTCTGTTTGGCCGTTTTCTTTTTTCTGGAAATGTGAGCTAATAACAAGTTATTTCAGTTTTCTGTATAAAAAATTGTACTCTGAAGACCACAAATGTGGATGTGATTATGGTTTGATAGATTAGAGTTAAACTCAACAGTCATGTGACATGTACACAGTTTGTGAAAAAGGAACGATTGGGGGATAGATTGGATTAGTGCGGGTGATTCACTATCTGGTTAGATGAGTTTTAGATAACGATGCAGACTACGGTAATCAGATGTTACTTTTCGAGAGCTAGCATTATGTGCTCTGAAGAAAAAAAAATCTATTTTGAAATTCACATTCATGGGATATGAAGGATAGAGTAAACCATTTATCTCATTTGCTCCTAAAACACTGTTTTTGTAGGTAATAATTAAAAATCTCGATCAAGTAGTCTAGGAAAATCTTTGTCTTTTGCAAGAAGTTTTCAGTCAAAGATTGTCTACACTGTATGATTACTAAAAATTGTGCAGGAACAGTATTTTTATTTTCATTTTTGAAATTTTGGAGATTTTACTTTCATTCTTCCATTTCTAGAGGAATGCACAATGAAATGAGATTTATCAGCTGCATTCATAAGTCCTTACAAATTATGACAAAGTAACCTGTCCTGATATTTTTCTTATGTTTCTGTGTTGGAAATGTGTAACATGTCGACATTAACAAATGTAGTAATGACATTGAAATTTCTGACATCCGCAGGACATTCAGCTCTACATCGGATTACTTTGATCTGAGCCATCCGTCCGTGTGGTATGTGAAATGTGCCTTCACCGTGCTCTTCACGTTCAATTCCTTGGTGGATCTGTGGCGCTATGTCATCCCCACCCTGCAGGGTATGCGGCATCCCATTGCCCTGTCACCGGTGGAGAAGGATATGCTCGGAGTCGGAGACAATGGTAGGAACTCTATGCATTTTTCTTTTTTTTTTTTTTTTTTTTGTTGCTTATTTTTAGTCGATGCTACTTAGCATGCTGTCTCTTTGCACATCTCTTGTTTAAAATGTTGAATGAAAGCATTTAGAAGGGAAAAATCAGACAGAGAAATGGTATTTCAAAATGAGACCAGAGAGAAAAAGATTTTCTTGCATATTGCATATCAGAAAAAACTACTTGACAAATTTTTCACACGAGTTTGATCACATATTTTCAACAAAATGTTCTTACCTTGCATTGTTGAATAACATCCCTTTTGTCAAATGAAGGACAAACTATTTTCAGAGAAGTGCATGCAAGAACCTTTTACCCACTGAATCAATGTATCTTGAACATATATGTTTAGAAGACTTAATTGAAGTAGTTTTCAAATTACTGTAAGATTCGTGTACTGATATACTGCAAATTAATTGTTATTTATATTTGAATATTTCTCACCTTGCAAATGACATCCCTGTGGTCAAATGAATGAACAAAATATTTTCCAGAGAAATGCATGCACAAACATTTTACCAATTGGAGCAATTTATCTTGAACATATGTTGAGAAGACTTAATTTAATTGTTTTCAAACTACTGTAAGATTCATGCACAAATGAAGTGTTATGTGAATATTTTTTTTAACTGCATGCCTATTTGAATATTTGTAAATGTAAATGATCGTCATATTATCTATGATATTAGGATGGTATCTCTTTTCTATCTCTGCAGCGATTGGCTTTAAGATGTCCCGTCACAGGATAGCGTCTGCTCCAGCCAACCTCTACGGCTCACACCACCACACACCACCCTTATCCTCATCTCCCTGCTCCGTGAAACCTCCTAGCCATTACCTCTACCCTGCCACCCCGACCTCTGCAGCCAGTCCCGGGGGTAGCCCATCCTTGATGGGTGCGTACGGGTCCCCCAAGCTGACTCCAAACAGTGCATACAAGGGCCAGTACTCTCCAGGGGCATCCCCTTCCTCCCAGGGGAGCTTCCTCTCAATCAATGGACATTCCTTTAATCAGGTAGGGCAGCTTTTTGATGAGGCAATGTATGGAATGAATGTTCAGAAAGGCTACCCTTGTGGTTACCAGAGATGTGCGACGAACCACAATTTTAAAAAGATATAGGGTTAGGGTTAGGCCTAGTGTTTGGTCTAGGGTTCAGGTTAGGCACTAATGTCCTTTGGCAAGACATTGATCTGCATTTGCCACTCTCCACCCAGGTGTTAAATAGGTACCTGGTAGGATGCGAAAGCCAATGTAGTATGCTTAGCAATTTGAGCCTAGTAGCTCTTGCTGGAATGCTCCCCAGGGAGTGGAGAAAGTGCATACATTGTGTGCAGGCAAGCCAGAATCCGATGACAATGGTAATAACTGTAAAGCGCTTATAAAGTCGGACATTGCCGATGTATTGAGCGCTATATAAGCAGAAATATTTTTATTAGTGTGGGATATTGACTGCTGGAGCATATGTTGTAGAACCACCCTGGTATTGCCATATGCAGTTATGGCATGCTTGGAATCCATTTGATTTTGATATTGAGATTACAGTTTTGACAACCAAAAGTACTAATTTATAAAGTGCTGTCTCAAGACACCAGTGTATGAGATCCAACAGCTTGAAAGAAACTGGCAATTGTTTATGAGAATGGCCACATAGTATGCACACAAACCACTAGCACCAATAACCAGTCACATTTTGTTTGCTTTTTTCCTTTAACAGACTCCAGGGAGCACCCCTCACACTCCAGCTGTTTCATCTTCAGTTCTGTTCAGAGATACAAGTGGAAGCGGAGGAAGCCTTCTTAGACCGAGACACAAATCTTCTCCTGTTGCAAGACATTCTCCATGTAATACAGTCTTATTAATATGCACAAAAAAGTGATGCAAATCCAAAGGAGAATCAAAGTCATTAATTATTTCAATGTTTGACAGAGTAGTTTTTTAAAAATCGATGAGCATATGCAGTATTTTGAGAAATTTTGAGATAAGATCTGATATATGAATGTACATGTATGTCTTAGAGACAATGATTGTAGTTTGAACTTTTAGCCACGTATCAAATTGAGTAGGGAGGTAGAGGGAGAGGGCCAATTGTGATTACCGGTATGAAGTGATTTAGGATCTTAGATTACTATATACCATGTGCATTAATGAGGGGTGAAAATCTGTGAAAGAAGGGAATGTATTTCAAAATAATAGTTGGTTGATGTAAAGTAGAAATACAAGAAGTCAAGGACAATCGTGTATAATCAACTATAGATTATCCTTTGTTTGAGGGAGAAATTATAAAGTAATGTATAACGTGCTTGATATCTGATACATTTCTGATCTCTGCATTATGTTCTTCTAGTGGTGACACCAGAAACAGTTATTTCTGATGAAGCTTCTCTAAGGAGCTACTTGTCTTCATACGATGAGAAGGAAAAGAGAAATATGCTGGGTAAGAAAATTCAACATTGTGTTTTATTCAGATGAAATTTGTAATTTATTTTCCCTGGTAACCTTACACTTTAAAACCTATCACTTTATATACTCATTATTTGTGTAATGATACAATTTTGTTTTCTACTGGTGAATTATTTTTTTTTATAAATCTCAGGCATAATGTCTAAAAACGTGGAAATTTACCCTTTTTTTATCACACTTTCACCAACTATAAGAGTGTTGCAATTTCATGCAAACATTGCACCAGTCTAGAAGCATACAGTTGAGAAAATATATATCGGTTGATGATGTGATGTAACATGTGTTATTGACCGTCTGACCACAGGAATGCCAGACCAATCACCGAACAGTAGCCCGTCCTTCTGGGCTTACAACCGTTCTGCTGCAGACTTCAACTATCTCTTGGGCAAGTACCAGTACCAGCTAGCCAGTAGGTCGCCCCAGTCGCCAGCCACTGGACGGGGCAAGGACGACCAGGACTATCCGGCCACATATGGAGCAGAGGAGGCCTGGGACAAGCTGGAGGTGGACAGAGAGACGCTTGACCGCTGGATTGCCAATCTAAGACAGGTTTGTTCTTCTTTAAATTATCTTGATAATCTCTACGTCATTTTGTTTCTGTGATTGCGTCCGACATATCACTTCTTCTTAGGGGTTTTAAAGTAACTATGTTAGTCACATTATTTCTTGATGGATTAATTTTCAGTCATTTACTTTGTATTAATCCTCATTCAATATTCAAGAGAAGTGCAATCCAAGTTTAATAATGAGCAACTATTGGACAAAATCATTTGCAAAGGGTCTATCCTTTTTAATACCAGTGATTGTTTGACCATGTAAAAGCATACTCGAAGACATCTAATTCTAGTTCACAATTATACAGAATAACATTGAATAAAACCATTTGATTTGTATTTGTTTACCTTCTATGAAATCGTCTGCAGTGGTTGAGCCAGACAGTGTTGGTTCCTATCATCAAAGAGATAGACAACGTCAACAAAAAACTGCAGAGGCTTGGCCATGGGGACCTTCAAATTGGAGGTATGTACACATAAGATAAGAATAGAGATTACAAAGATGGTGTGGGGCTTTGATGATCTTTCAAAGAGACAAAATGTATTTGAGACCAACTAGGTGGGCTATTGTCCTCGGTCATAAAGGCATCTATCATGCATTACATTGTCACCTTGGATAGAATTTGACGTTTTAAGACTTATTGAGCTTTCTTAGCATTTGTGTAAGAATGTACAAACACACAAGCCTTGAAAGGCAACAAGAAAATTGATTATTTGTTACATATTTTATTTAGCCAAGTTTGTTAGCCAGAACTTCTGCTAGCTAAGCCTGCTGGTGCCTGTTGGCGGGCAAGTATAAGCTCTTTTGCCCCATACTTTACTGACCAAATCCACAGTTTCAGTTTATCTGAAGATTGTATTTGTTTGCAAGCTCAACTGCAGCTTTGGATTAGACCAAATATCAAGTGAAACAATACTTTTGTCAGTTTATTTTCATAATACCATTGTACTTGGTTATGTATGGTAGACACCAAATGAGCAAATAGCTTGAACTTGCCTTGTATTAGTTAAGGTTGCGGATATCGATACAAAACAGTTGTATGATTGTATGATGACATTAGTCTAAGATTCATTTTCATTGTCCCTTTTTAAAATCTCACTGCTTTTTCTTCCCTACACTTGCTGCAGATACGAGTATATCAGCTCTTCGTCAGGTAGCCATTCTCAAGAGCCAGCATGTACCTTCCCTCAATGTACTACTCTCCTACCTAGATATATCATCTAATCAAGAATACATTATACAGAGATACAGAGGTGAGCTCTTAAGTTTCAGTCTACATAAATGAAAACTGTTGTGATAGATTTTTTTTTAATGGTTGATGTTGTTGTAGAATCACTGCAGTATAGGAAACTTTTTTGGGGTTACAATTAGTACCCCTTTAACTAATATTTTATATCTACAGTTTTTCTTTCAAAATATTTCAAATTTATTGGGCTTTGGAAGGTACTTAATCCTAAAATCAACCAGAAGGGCTTTATTAGAATCTCTGCACATAGCTATAAAGGTAATTCAAAGTTTTGTTATGGGGTCATGAGTCAGATCAAATGAACATATTGGAAGCATATGCGATTTTACAATATTCAATGATCGTTGTCGCAGTTGAAATTGAGTCTAAAGTGATGACATTGTAAATAGTAAACTCTTTATGTTGTATAGCTCCCTCTCAAGACTGATTTTACTTTGTTTCTGGACTGCAATCGACCGATTTGCTATTCCCGTTTTGAAATTATATATCAGAGCTGCATATTCTGAAATTGTCATGGTCGCAGCTACCATGGAATGGCCTTAGGCGCTATTTGAAGTATTCGATATTTACCGGAAGCACCAGTGAATTTTTGATTATTCAATTTATCGAAAGCTGAAGTGTTAAAGGGGCTAAATTGTTAAGTGCTTATAGTTCATCCACAGGGTCACCCAAATACATCAAAATTTTAAAGAATTACTATCAATCCAATTTTCAAATTCCCCAAAACTTTGCATTATCTTTAACTGTTTTACATGTATTTGCTTTTTTAGACATATTTAATATTTTCATTAGTCTCATTTGTCTATTATTCCACATGAAGAAGACAGAAATTTACAGCAGCTGATGTTCGATGGTATCTTGCTGTTTCTCAACTCTTATCAAACGAATCAGTCGCAAAGTTTCAGGGACCATACCAAACCTGTACTTTAGTATCATTCCATCAGACCTATGATGAACTACAATTTACTATCAACGATCCCCCCACAGTTGAAATGATTTGTAGATAAATGCTTTTCTTGTTGTAAAAACTATTTCTATTGTAGTCAATAATTTTCATTTTATAATTTGTCATTGTCTTTTCTTTAGACCTTGCTCGAGGAGGATACATCTGTGAGTTTCGATGGGACCAGGGTGGAGAGTATAAGGGCCGTAAATGGCAGAAGGACTTGCCTACAGACTGTGTGGTTAGTATCAAGAGATATTCACCCTAAATTTGGGTGAAAGATTAAAAAAAATAAGAAGCATTACTAGCTGAAAAATAAATTTTTATGCCTCCGCCACCGAAGGTGGTGCCGGAGGCATCATGTTTTCGGGTTGTCCGTCCGTACGTACGTCCCGTTTGACCGTTATCACAATATCTCAAGAACCATTTAAGATTTAAACTTAAGACTCGGGAATAGTATTTATCACCATAGGAAGACGATCTGATTAGATTTTGGAGTACGTAGGTCAAAGGTCACAGGTCACAGAGGTCAACTTATGAAATTCCTTGTATTGAGTTTGTTAGCGCGATATCTCAAGAACCATTTGAGATTTAAACTTCAAACTTAAGGATAGTATGTATCACCATAGGAAGACGATCTGATTAGATTTTGGAGCACGTATGTCAAAGGTCAAGGGTCACAGAGGTCAACTTATGAAATTCCATACATTGAGATTGTTATCATGATATCTCAAGAACCACTGGAGATTTAAACTTCAAACTTAGTGATAGTGTGTATCACTATAGGAAAACAATCTGATTACATTTTGGAGCACGTAGGTCAAAGGTCAAGGGTCATAGAGGTCAACTTATGAAATTTCATACATTGAGATTGTTATCATGATATCTCAAGAACCACTGGAGATGTAAAAACTTCAAACTTAAGGATAGTATGTATCACCATAGGAAGACGATCTGATTAGATTTTGGAGCACGTAGGTCAAAGGTCAAGGGTCACAGAGGTCAACTTATGAAATTCCATACATTGAGATTGTTATCATAATATCTCAAGAACCACTGGAGATTTAAACTTCAAACTTAATGATAGTGTGTATCACCATAGGAAGACAATCTGATTAGATTTTGGAGCACGTAGGTCAAAGGTCAAGGGTCACAGAGGTCAACTTATGAAATTCCATACATTGAGATCGTTATCGCGATATCTCAAGAACCACTGGAGAATTTTCACTTCAAACTTAATGATAGTATGTATCACCATATCATAATATCTCAAGAACCACTGGAGATTTAAACTTCAAACTTAATGATAGTGTGTATCACCATAGGAAGACAATCTGATTAGATTTTGGAGCACGTAGGTCAAAGGTCAAGGGTCACAGAGGTCAACTTATGAAATTCCATACATTGAGATTGTTATCATGATATCTCAAGAACCACTGGAGATTTAAACTCCAAACTTGTTTAAATTGCTCTATGGTGGAGGCATCATTTTCGACTGCGCGCAGTCAAAATTCCATCTAGTTCTAGAATGTGGTTGGAGAGAGTGACACTAGAAAAATAAATGTATGTAAAGCTGAGTTCAAGAGCACTATTTTACATTTATCTGTCTCTTGGGGAGTATCGAGAAATACATATTCTCCCATAGTATCCTATCACTCATTTAATATATGATGATGCTTTAATATTTTTAAGTTTACAAGTTTCATTGTCAGATGGAATTCTTGCTAATCCGAATATATAGCAACTTTTTCATTTTCCAAGTTAATTGATTCCATGCATTAGAACATCTGAATACGCACACACCTTTGTACTAGGACAAATTAACTTACTGTTTAAAGTAGCTGTGCGATTGATTGTGCAAATCATGCCCAACATGTGATGTCACACGTATCAGCAGTGTTCGGAGAGCTCTTCAGGTGCATTAAATTTTGATGAAATTGTCCAATCAAAGTTGCACCTTTGCAATAATGAAAATAAAGTTAGTTTTTTTTTTAAATCTTTGCACAGCTACTTTAAAGAATTTTGACCTGTTATGCCTTCCTTTTTACAGCTTGTACTGCATGCCTTGTGTACCTACTTGGACTCTTGCCTTCCGCCCCACCCTAAGCATCCTGACGGAAAGATCTTCACCGATCAGTACTTCATGAAGACGCCCGACAAACCAGGTATGATAACAGATGATTTTATCATCTTTTTAAGGTATCCAAGTGAAAAAGGGAGATGAATGGAAACTCTTGGGTCCACCGTCTGGTAGCATGAAGAAGGTCTGTTGCTGCAGAAACTGTCGGGCTTACAAGATGAGATTCCTCCGCCAATTTTGAGATTTCAAGACAGAAACAAAACCAGAAAATTAAATTAAACAAAATAAAGTTGAGAATGTTATAGAGTCCCTCTAACAAGATAGGTAACAAATATTTCTCAAATTTAGAATTCAAATGCAAGGAAATTGTGTCCTTTTAAGTTGATATATTCTAAAAGTTTTCTGCAGAAAGGGGGCGTGACCCCCTTTTATCCTGCTAGGGGCCTTGCCCCCGGACCCCCATTAAATATTCCTCCTTTTAGGGAATTTCTCTGTTTCATTCCTTTAATCTGTAAAAAGAAAATTTAATTTTGATGGTTACGTTTAATTTTGAAATGTAGCTGTGTAATGAGGAAATGAGTAAATATATTTTATAGAATAAAAATGTTCCACCCAACTATCTATTAATACTTGAAGTTTATAAAGGTATGTGAGTCTAGATGTGTGTTCCCGTTTGTTGGCTGAAAGATGGTTTATTAATCAGATATTGTTTTATGTTTTGGATACTAGAAATTACTATTAGAATTCAAACAATAAGGCATTTTTACAGTACATATCATGAATACCGGGAACAATATTTGGTCTAATAAGATGAACATCACCAACAACCACCATCTATTTCAAAGGTTACATGATGATGATGATGATGATCCACAGCACTTGTATGGTGCCATTTATCTGTTTCAAACATTCAATGCCCCCCGCTCCTCCAATAGTCATGTACTACACATTTGCTTGAAAAGATGGGTTTTGAGGCCTGACTTACATCATGACTTCTTGTACTGTATATTGTTGTGTATTAGCTGACCAGTTTTTATTTATCTTACATTTTTTTGTTTTTAGATCTGAAGAGGGAGAATTTGCTTCTCTTCCATTCCAAGATCAACCCTCCTCACTACAAGGTTATTCTAGGTGATGATACATGGGATCTTCCAAAGGTGAGTTCATACGAATCATTTCATTACATGGAGTAATTTTTCTATTTATTTTTTTAATTTGAAGTGGAAAAAGTCTTGCTCCAAAAAAAAATGCTACAATCATCAATTCATTTCAGGTTATGAAAGTTACTGCTCTCTTTTTTCTTTTCATTCTTTGTCAGTCACATTATTTAAAGCATATGATGAAATGCTGCCAGTATTTTATATATATATATATATATATCGTTATTACTTATATGCTTGCATGTATGTATATTCTATTATATGTTTTGGGAAAGATATAGGTTTTAATATTTTGATAAACAACAAGATATGTATATTTGATATGAAGCAAACCTTAGCACACTTATTCATATTTATATATATATATATGTATGTTAATATGTATGATAATAAATTTGTACCTTTAATGTCCTTGGATATGATTTAAAGCTGTCTTGCATATCTTTTTTTCCTAAACATACAGGGTAGAAACAACATGTTCCAAGCTATCCTGCTGTTTTTGCGTCACATCAAGACCAAGGAGAATGGAATGCTGGGGTTAGTACAGATATCTCTTTGTCATTTAAAAAGCCCTCTCGCCTATTTGGCAGTCATGTGTGACCTCCTATAGCAAGGAGAGTAGTGAATATCGTTGTAGTTGAGACATCAGCTATCCCCCCCCCCCCTCCCCCACCCCCATTAAAAAAAAAAAAAATTGTATAGATAAAAAAATAGAATAAATAAAATAAATAACACATAATTATTTTGTTTAACATCAGGAGGAAAGTGTTTGATTAAGTTCATTCAGCATTACATTTCATGGTCAAAATCAAGACTTACACATTGAAAAGCTGAGACAAAGACAGGTCTTGGTACATAATTGGTGAAATGCAGGGCTACGGCGCACAAAGGCTTAAAACAGTTTTTAATCAAACTTCTCTAGATGGATATTTTTTAAGGGAACTGGGTCTGTTTACGACATTCCAAGCACATTATATTTTTATTTCATCAAAGGCATTTATATTTCAATAGTCTTTATAATATTGATAGTCACACTAACATGGTGATGTGAAAAAGTTGGGATGATGCTTAATATTTACATTTGAAAATAATTAAAAGACCATATTCAAGATTGCAAAAGTGAACAAGCTAGATTAAAGAAAATGCCCGATTGACCCTTTTAACCTAACTGCTAAGTATTTACAACACTAACTACAGTATGACTATTGACAAGAAAAATAATTCTGGTCTGTTTTTGTCATTGCATTTTTAGGAGGGTGAACCTTGGACTATCGGGGGTCAACATACTGTGGGTGATTGACAGCTGAGATGGACCAATCACAGCTCGTGAAGGACAGAAAGTAGGTAAAGCTTCTGATCAACAAGCAACCAATACCAAAGTTTAAAGAGTATGAGACTGAAAAAAAAAACATTGGCTGTATTTGGTTTTGAAGATATACTTAATGGAACAAGCAAAGTTTCAGAAATGCTGATGGGACTATTTTATTAGACTGAGATTTGGATGAGAGAAGGATGATGAAGGAAGGAGCCACCGAGCCTGATGTTGGAATAAAAGATAAAGTAAGGAGAAAAAAAAGATGAATTAATATAAAGAAAGAGACCCTGGTTTGGAGGTGAAAATATTAGTGACAAGAGAATCATGGTGATATCTAGAGAGAAGGGTTGCCCTTGCCAAAAATATTTGTTCAAATATTGTGGGCTGGAATCTAGCAGATTGACCACAATAATATGATATCGTCTTTTTGGAGCCAGAAGGGCATTACACTTATTTCATTGTACACAAAGTAATGCCCCTTCTTGCTCCAAAACAGACAATATATACAATATTTGCGGAGAGTAACGCCCTAAAAAATAAATGACTGTGGTACCTGAGATATTTGTTGTCTTGTTGTGACCCCAACCCTTTCCTTTTTATTTTAGATAAATTTTCCTGATATTTGAATTGTTATCCCCCAAATCAGAGCTGTTAGCACAGATATGATTTATGAAATACCGAAAACGTACTAAAAGAGCTCAAACCCAATTATAGCTTTAAAACATATATGTCTTTGGGTATAACAACATGACTGAAATGAGATTGTTTACATTCTATGGTGCGTGTGACACATCAGAGTGCCCAGTCTATTCTGCTTATTCAGTTGAACCTGATGTGAGGATCTAAGTCAAGTTCAACAAAATAAAATTAGATGGGACCTTAGTCTTTAACTTCTTCAGAATTTAATCTGTCATAGGGTTAAATTTCAGTAGAACATGACATAATATATCATTCTAGTTAACCACTTCGAGATCTCAAAAATTCAGATGTAGCTCTTCAAGTTTATTGCTTAGATTTGTTGACGAAAGATTTATTTTCAAAAACCAAAAGAGTCGGTCCCATTAATATTTTGTGCAGTTTTACAGTAAAGTGCATTCATTAATTGCAGGATGTGAGTTGACATGTGGTCAGCATCAATTGCAGATTATTGGGTTATATTTCCTCCCCCCCCCCCCCCCCCCCCCCCAAAAAAAAAAATTCCTCTGTATAAATATACTGTATGGAAGTGTTTGTAATCACATCTTTTTTTTAATTGTTAAATGTGATTATTGTAAATCGGAGGGATGAAATAATTGTTCAATTTAAATACCGGTAATCTTTTTGTTGTGGTTATGGATTCATGGAACTGTTACAGAATTTTAACAAGTTGTTGACTTTGATAGCCCTTTAAGGACATTCTGCAGCATTGTTTGTAGACAATTTCACTGCGCAGGGCCAGCTTGGTTGTATATTTCATATGTACAAACAGTACAATGCACAAAAATTACTGTGGAATGTCCTTAAAATATAACATAACAACACATAAAGGCGATTCTGTGCAATGCATCCCTTATGACCACTGACTGATGGTCGTGTTACCAGGAGAATCACTAGCCTGTGGCCATATAAAGACATTCCTATTTTTAGATGATATAAGTGTATAAAAGTATGAAGGAACAGAAGAATCTTGTTGAAAAACTGATTACTGCAATAACCTAAGTTAAGAAATGACCCAAGGTGTAGATAATCCTAGTAGATATTCATTCTTCATTTAATGAGACATCAGTGAATATTTCACGACTAGATAGTAAATCTACCGGTATACAAATTATATCTGTATAACATTTACTTAATACAATTTAAAATCTAATTGAAAATGTTTGAATCTCTTGAGTCATTCATAATTTTCATATATAATAATTTAGAGAATGGAATTTTGATTAGAATTCATTTTATTTATATTTAGGTTACGACTGCCAATTTCCCAAATGAATTACCGGTATTGTGATTAAATTTATTCCTCTGTTTTCCCCCCTTTTAACATGAGTTCTATTTAAGGAGAGCATGAATATATTTCTTTGAAAATGTTGAGAGGTGGGAGTAAGATACATGTATTTGATTTTAAATTTGCTTCAGTGTCAGATGAGATTCATCAACGCAATGAATGGTGCCACAATTTCTACCAAATTTCAAATATTTTTTCCTCCTCTTTTACGATTTGCTGACACCAAGATAAAGAATTTAATGGATGTGAAATGCATGCATTACATTACTTAAACAGCTAAGCTTTACCTCATCACTTATATGTTCAAAGTTTAAAGAAAATATGTGCCTTTGATATTCGTGCTTGTTAACGTGTTGTATGTTCATGTATGTCTACTGTAAGAAAATAAATCTGAATGTAATGTTATGAGAAGGTTTTCATCTTGTTTTTGTTGTATTCTAGCAAATTGGAACAAATCACAAAGGAAATATTTCATATTGTGCCAGTATTCATTCCAGCATAGTAAGGTGGTATGGTATATATATATCTTGGTTACGCTTTGCACCATGTGTGTGTGGGAGGGGGAAGGGGGTGAAGGTAAATGCCTTTTATAGTTCCACTGAGCAATCAATAAAGACCATGACCTACTAAAGTCTGTTCTTCAAATCCTGTGATTTTTTTTTGTTGATTTTTTTTATTTTTTAATGAAAAAAATCTCAAAAGTGATCAGTTTTGACCTGATTTGGACCATGACTAAGGGACAGCATTCAAAACAAATAGGTGGTATGTTGTGTGGACATAGGAAATGCACAATTAAACCCTCGCCACACCTGTCTTGTGCTATTGTTTTTGAGTGACGGCGAATCTGTCCCACTTTGGGATACCAGGCGAAGAGGGCCCCCTCTTTGATGGATAGATGAGATTAGATGCCGGGATGAAGAATTTCTGGAGTTGCGTCATTTGGTTTATCTCATTGCATGGATGATGCTAAGTGGATTGTTGAGTGATGAATGAAGATGATGATTGTGTTTTGTTTGTCAATACTTATAATTTATTTTGACAGGTATATTACTCATGTAATTGATCTCAGATGAAGGTAATGTGCGTATGGTTTTGCATAATCACCTCATATCTATTAGATACGAAGTGAAAATATCTCTAGATCACTTTTGTGCACAATTTGCCCCATAAGAATTAACTTACTGGTCCTATTATATATAGGACTATTCTTATCTATTTTAAGTGTGGAAAGCATATAGGGAGAATCGGTTGAAGAATAAGTTATACCTTGTGCAAAGCACTTGGTTCAAGATGATCATTTTCTTTACTGTCACGGCTAAACCTCCCATTTAGAAGATGACTACCAAAAATAGTCAGATATGATGAAACTTAGGGTTGAATAGACGAAGGATTTGCAAAACAACAGAGTATGAAAAGAAGGAGATAAACGAAATAAAGATGCGTTCGGAGAGGGGAGAGAGGGAGGAATGGAGAGAAAGGAGGAGGAGGAGAGGGGGAGGAATGGAGAGAGTGAAAAGAAGGTTATAAACGAATCAAAGATGCGTTCAGAGAGGGGGAGAGAGAGAGAGGAATGGAGAGAGTGAAAAGAAGGTTATAAACGAATCAAAGATGCGTTCAGAGAGGGGGAGAGAGAGAGAGGAATGGAGAGAAAGGAGGAGGTGGAGAGGGGGAGGAATGGAGAGAGTGAAAAGAAGGTTATAAACGAATCAAAGATGCGTTCAGAGAGGGGGAGAGAGAGAGGAATGGAGAAAAAGGAGGAGGAGAGGGGGAGGAATGGAGAGAGAGAGAGAGAGAGAGAGAGAGAGAGAGAGAGAGTGAAAAGAAGGTTATAAACGAATCAAAGATGCGTTCAGAGAGGGGGAGAGAAAGGAGGAGGTGGAGAGGGGGAGGAATGGAGAGAGTGAAAAGAAGGTTATAAACGAATCAAAGATGCGTTCAGAGAGGGGGAGAGAGGGAGGAATGGAGAGAAAGGAGGAGGAGGAGAGGGGGAGGAATGGAGAGAGTGAAAAGAAGGTTATAAACGAATCAAAGATGCGTTCAGAGAGGGGGAGAGAGAGAGGAATGGAGAAAAAGGAGGAGGAGAGGGGGAGGAATGGAGAGAGAGAGAGAGAGAGAGAGAGAGAGAGAGAGAGTGAAAAGAAGGTTATAAACGAATCAAAGATGCGTTCAGAGAGGGGGAGAGAGGGAGGAATGGAGAGAGAGAGAGAGAGAGAGAGAGTGAGAGAGAGAGAAAGAGTGAGAGAGAGAGAGAGAAAGAGAGAGGAAGAGAGAGAGAGAGAGAGAGAGAGAGAGAGAGAGAGAGAGAGAGAGAGAGAGACGGATGGAGGAAGAGCGTTGGAATGGGGAATGTGAAGGACATTTTTTTCAAAGACAGATCAAGAGGAGTACATATAAGGAGGAAAATTTATCGTTTAAATAAAAATATACGCTACAAAACATTACTTATCAGGCATGTTCTTTTTGTCCCTTCCGCTAACGACATCTCCACCATTTTAAAACATACTTTTTAGGATAAGAATTAAGTGAGTACCTTGGTACAATCTGCGATCATCATGATGTTTCCTGGGAGATTATCATCTTGTGAGAGAAAGATACAAAAAAAAGTATGAAATATGTAGAAGAAAATTGAGTCTAAGCCTTTGTAAAGAAACGGTTCAGTCACGATGATACATTACACCTCAAGGCCCTTCGTCAACAAAAACGATGACTTAATACGATCACTGACAACCGGATTTCATCAATCACTTAATTCCAATATCTCTGTAAACAATCCATATTCATGATATCCCTATAATTGGTACACGTAGCTACCAATAATCTCGATGTTGGAATTCGGAAGTATGGATTAGTTTGTGTTTGTAATGTGAGATCAATTGTAATTCGCGACGCTATTTAAAGTCCATATATTTAGTTTACTTGATATATAAACCACATGCTTTTCTCATATACACAAACAATATTTTTTAAATGGTATATAAATTCAAGTTTTTAAACGTTATACTGGTAAATGTGTTGTTTGCAATATGTACAGAATTGATCCAGATCGAGCTGAATTAACTGACCCTTTGACCTCCTTTCGAGATTACCCCCAAAATAATTACGAAAATAAATTCTGAATTAAACTCGAAATTTTGGTATGACGTACTAGCTTGAACAAAAAACAAAACAAAATAAAACCATTGTCATCGTAACCATATATTTTTCATATGTTTTTGTTCATGGTACCCTAGATTCCATGTATAATTATTTGCATCTGCTCAATATTGCTGATAATGTATGTGTATATGCTTTAATTGGAATTAAATAGAATTGAACCTGAACTTGACCTTGATACTGTTTAGTATAAACAGTTTTCTGATGTTAAAAGGAAGAGGTTCTACAAAACGATGTCAGGCGACAATTACTTCGCGGTCCGTTTCCTACATTAACTAAATTCGTACTTTCAACTCTTAAATAAACATAATACCTAATCCTAAACATATCCTAAAAGTCAATCGAAACTCCAACATTATCGTTGACGAAATAATGACCGGAGCAATGTAATAATGTAAGATTTTGTCATTATTTTGAGGGATCCACATTTTACAAGCTCTTCTTTTCAGTGGATCCTTCCATTCCACAGGTTTAACTTAAAAACTAATAACAAAAGAACTATTATACTGGATATTTATGTATACTTTATTTTTGATAACTTTAAACCATGTAAAATGTTTTATATTATTGAATATTGAATTGTATATCTGATTTCTTGTCAAAAGCACTGTTCTGTTGGAAATGAAAAATAAAACTGAAACTGAAACTGAAACTGAATATCGACGATCAGAGTGGGGTAAAGGTCTACCATGGATCTCGGACTCCTGCCTTCGATGGTACCTAGACTGCTATTCTGCAAAACTGCAATTTCTACTCTAAGCGATTTTCAAATTAATAAATCCTGGAAAAGAAAATCAGGTTGATTTGCAAACAGTGGACTTAAATTATATAAAGCCAATGCTCAACCAATGCGAAAACCGAGCTTCGCATCTTAATTTTGGCGCTCTTTTCATTAGAAAGAGCGAAATCGCAGTTAAGTATATACTCTGTATAATTGTATTTGTTTTTTTTTGGTAATGAACAAGGGAATAAATACCAATACAAGTACAGTTTGGGCCTCGTCTTATAAAGAGTTGCGATCGATCCGAATCCATTTAAAGTCTTCCAATTGATCCAAGTGTTTATTAGACGGGGCCCAAGTAAATCTGAGCTTCTGAGCACCAAGTTAATAACTTTCTCTTACTTTAATAACTGTAATGGCCTGGCTATTGATATCGGAACCGTTAACTTGAAGCATGCAAGGAAAATGTCCTACCAATGATCTAGCTGAGCTTAAATTAAAGTTTGAATTTTAGTGCACTTTCATCGTCGAGTAAAATTGGCGCTAAGGGCTATTTGGCTCTGCTCCCCACAGATCGAAATCATGCATGATACATTTAACAAAAAACCTTTGTTATTGTTTTTGTTATCGAAAAACTGTATGCTTACATGAATGCAGAAGATAATCAAATCAAATAAAATCAAAATCAAATTATCTAGATTCTAGACGACTAGCCGCATCATGATTACCGCTGGCTAATTACAAAATGATAAAAGTGATAGGCCTGTAACTATGCACGCAGCTAAAATAACCATACCCCTACCCAACCCCACCCTCCCCCTCCCCAAGTAGGTTGTGATATGGTGGACAGGGTCTTTTTTAGAGAGTGAAACAAAATAAAAATAGGGTAGGGGTCAGATCTAAGACAGACCTGTTCCAGCCATACATCATAGGATGTTCTAAATTAACTGATTTGTCATCCTAAAATCCAGGGCTATATGTCATTCTATAGAGTCTCATCACGGTCTCTTATTACTGCTGCGTCGAAAGATGCAACGATCTTCCTCATAGTTTCTTTATTTTTTAGTATTTTTGTTTGTTGTTCTAATAATAACATAATCACCTCTGTATTTATATAAAAAAAGAAGTCTTATATTTTCAAACCTACTATTATTATCTTGTTGATATCTTGATTCAACATTTTCCTATTTCCCAGCCTTAAATATCTGTAATCTGTAAATACTGTAAAAAAAATTAATCGCTTTATGTGGCCCTTTTTTAAATCAAACTTTGTTTGGTTATTTACTTGGCGGAGACGGAATGGTTAATGGAACCCTTTTGTCCTTTTTTTTTTAACTAACAAATAATCAATTAGAAGCACAAAAATATATCATTAATCATCATTAGATCAATTTCTATAGCGCAGCTACTATGCTAAGTTCTCTACTTCGCTGTGATAAAAACAAAACTCCTAACAGTGCAACTTTACAGACACACAGTTAAAAGAAAAAAAACTATTCAAAAGATTCTGAAAACAATTGCGTCTTCAACA